GAGGGTGGATTGCACAGTTGCATTCAGCCTCCTTTTGCCTTGTTTTTTCTCACCCACTCCTTTCACTTCTTTGGTTCAGCGGAATTTCATCGACCCGTGCACATATTTGGAAGCGCTTTTTGATTCCCCACTTGACTGCGTAGATGACCTGCAGGCTCCAAAGACCCACCCCAACGTTGACTGACCGCAAGGACTAAACATATAGTAGGTCCTATCCACTTAGGTCCGCAAGACAATTCTGTAAGAATTCATTCCATCCTCTCCAGTCTATGCGGCAGAAGTAGATCGGTTTTCTGCAGATGCCTGCATCGTGCTGCAGGCAAACCATTATTATCTTTGATTGGGATGACACCCTTTGCCCATCCAGTTGGATCCGCGCGAACAAGAAGGCCACCGCACCATGCGATCGTGATGTGGAGTGGTCAGTCTCTCTACTCCAGCGAGGCTACCCTGACCTGATAGCCTGGGACCCGTCAGGACCCGTCACCTGGGGTTACCCAACTGGGATAGTGCAAAAAGGGTCCTTTAACCACCTCGCTTTGCTGGGAAGGCCTGAGAAAAGGCAGCAGTGGTCCGACTGTGCTCGACTTCAGGGGTCACACAGTAATCATTTTCGCATCCGTTGGGCTTTGCGTATGCCCGAAAAGCTGATGGAAGGCTTCCAAGATAAGATCCACCTCGCGTGAAAAACCGATTGGTGAGGTTTGTGTGGCGTTTGTTTGTCGTCTTCGGGTCTGTGCCTTGTGGCAGACCTAGAAGATACCTGGGAATAATCATCGGAAGTGGATGGCAGCGGCATGTCCTTGATTTCGCATGACCATGTTGCGAATACCAAACAAGTGGTGAACTCCACTTCCATGTTTATCTTGGGGAGTGTGCAAAAGCCTGAACATGTTGGACATCCAACAACCACACGACCAATTCGACCTGGCTTCCTTCCCTCCTCAGTGGATCCAAATAGACAAGAATTTTGAGAGAACTTCCCAGTAAACAGAGCATACCCCTTGCTTGGAACAACATCCCCGCAAACATTGTTGAGCTCATTGTATAATATAACTTCTTTTGGCATGGTGACTTCGGTCCGCTCGCGTCCGTCTCCACACATGTCTCGTGTCCGCTCGTGTCCGTCTAACCTGAGCAGGTCTTAAGCTTCTTCAAGCCTGCACCCACCACCGAGAAGTATCAGAAGCCGCTGAGGGAGTTGCAGGCATCCCGGCGCGGCACCGAACCAACAGCACCCGGTATACAGCTCTGGTGCTTGGACCGTGCGTATTGGCTTTGACGGTGCATGGGATGCAGGAGCCCCATGCATGTTGAATCATGACTACAGTATACTACAGTAGAAGTATATAGAAGTATAATAACCTCTTTGAGGGGCCAAGTTCAGAGATCTTGGTGCACAAAGCTGAATTGGACATGACCATCGCGAATGTCTTGACTTCGGTCACCACCAACACCATTCTTTATCGGCTCGCTCATGAGCTTGGCTGCTGTAGTGATGAAAATCCGCCCTTGCCGAAGCCAGAGTGCCAAGTAAGTTCCTTCTTCGCCGATTTCTTAGGACTCCACCGATGCTGCTTGAAGCTCCTGGGGGTTCTTATAGTTCCCCCCCTCACACCGTCGGTGATGCAGGCTGCGGTGGAGGTTCTCTTGAAGATGTCCATGAAGCTGGGGACTGCCACTCGGGAGCAACACTGACCTGTCGCCGAGCGAAACAGGACGAGCGGGATGAACCTCAGGTGCTTTTTGATCATCACGCAGTGTTCACTTGCAGTGTGCAGGGGGGGATGGTTCATCTCAAATCATATCCTTTTGGCACTCGCATGGTGTGTGGGTGGGTGGAATTGCTATCCCAGCACTCTAGCTGCTGCTCTAATGCGGTATACTGTATACTATTATAAGGTACCACCGGAAGGGACTGGGACAGATTGTTTGTGGGCACGTCTATTTTTAGAAGACAGTCAATCACATGGAGGTGGTTTGAACAGTTGTGTCCATTGCATTTGAAGGGGATGACCATGTGTTTGAGTTTCTGATCATCTATTCAAGGCACTCACGGAACCTTGCGCCACCCTCCATTTGAGAGGTTGGGGTTTCATGGTCAAGGTTTTACATCGAATGGGGAGGTAAAGCGGCGATTCGATGCTTGTTTTCTCCACTCGAATCAGGAATGCTCGGGGGGAAGTGCACTGCTCGTGTGGCCCTTGATTAATAGCCCACCCATGTGAAGAGGTTCTTCAATCCAAATGGAGGGGTTGCTTATCAAGACTAGTCAAGAGTCTACATTACTGTGTTCCAACAACCACTTCTGTGATTTGCCTATGTTTGCACCGCCGCCCTGGCACTTTTTTCTCGGCGGTTTCGTGGCGGACTGGCAGATTGATACATATGGGGTGGTTGAAAACGAGGTCGATCTACAGGGTGTGTACCATTACCAGTAACGGTCGGTCAAACATAATCACGTACTATAGTTAGGGGGAACGGGGAAAGGTCTTTAAGAAATCGTCATCATCCACTGGGCACTGGTAGTGGGATATGCACCCAATGTAGCATCAGAATGAAGGATAGGTCAACTCATCCCACGGTGAGAATCTTCACCGGTCAACTCTTTTCTGGTAATATGATTGCACTCTGACTCACTAACATGGAAGTGGAGAATGGTCCCTTGGAAGACTACCTTCCTTTACAAACCGGGGGTTTTCCACTTCCATGTTAGTGAGTCGGAGTGTAGGTTGAGAGTAGATGGCACACTTCCCAAGTAGTAGGTGGTTCAAAAGATGGACTTGTCATGAGGAAATATCTCTTGGCAGTGCCAGTGCCAAGGAACCCTTTGAAACCACATCAGTAGAGTAGTAGGTCCTTAGGTCCTTGTAGGTCTCATCGGATCCCAAAAGCCAGGTCCTCCGCCGCTCCCACCGGAAGCGTGGACGTGCGTGGACCTATCACCCGAGGTGGTGATCGTGACCAATGCCATGGATCCTTGGGTGGACACTTGGCCACACCATGGTGGACAGCGAGCTGTTGGAGGCTGTGAGACGGAGCGTAATTGAGACGCAGCGGAACTTCCTTCCTTCCTTCCCCCCTCTTAAAGGGCACTCCGAAGATTTGCCTTGAAGTCAGTGATCCTCAAATTCATGGTGGCACGGTTTCCAATACATGGTTGGGGGTCTAAATGCAATACCATCATTGACCCCTTTTCAACCGCCACTGGAGTGTTTGGGCATGACTGGAAAGAGAATGAACATACCGACCAGCCTTGTGTGGCGTTCTATGTCATGTACTCTAGGTAGATATGGATTAGTATGGATTAGTATATATAGATATTATTTAGATATACCAGTTAATACTGCTCTTGATGTTGGATGGGTACAATGGCTGAAGAGCGAGTTGCCGTTCTTGGTTGATTTGAACATACGTAGACTACGTAGACAAGCTCCTTTCATGTTTGCCAATCCAAAAGCGCCACTGCTCTTTCTTCTCGTTCGCCCTTTCGCCTCACTCCTACAGACCGGTGCGAGGAAAGCGGCGTGACGTGATCTCGCCGGAAACCGAGGAAACCTCCTGCCGGAACTTTCTTCCCTCCTTATTGCCCTTGGTGAGCACCTTACCCGTGATCTACGCCCGATCCATCTTCGAGCAGCAAGGGGTCGATGTGGCCCGGCGAGAAGAGATCACAGCCTCCGATCTGTTCTTTTTGCGCAGTGGGCGGTGGAAGAGGGAGGTTGGGGACCCGTTTGGGTGCCCTGTTTGGGCCCCATGTTACATGATAGGTGTCATCTCCATGGAGCAGATGTGGGAGTCAGAACCTTGTGAACAATGGGCGGGCAAGAAATCAGCCGGTAAAGTTGGCATCATTTAGGGTGAGGATAGCAAGGGCCCCCCCGAAAGACCTTTGACAGGATGAAACATGGACTGAACGAATGGATTGAGCGTGAGGTGGGTTGTTGCAGAGGAGTTGGACCTCTCATGTGCTCTCAACTTCGCCATGTAATGCTTCCCCTAGAGGTATGCACCTGCACGGGAAAGGTGGGAAAGTACTTTAGGTCTGAGACGCCTTTCAAAGCGAGTTTTGCCGCGCTTCCAGAATCACAGAATCATTTGTGAAACATGGTGAAATCCACTGCAGTCCAAGCATTTGGTTCCGTTGTTGAAACCCACCACAGGTCCAAGCAGTTTTGCCTCCTTTTTAGAGGGCAAGTGGTGGGTCACCAACTCTGCTGAACCAACCCGAAGCCCTCACGGTCCTTTTTGAAGCGAATCTCTGCCGAGATGGCCCGCAGCCCATCGGGCAGCGGCCCCACCCGCGCCATGCCCGGGATGTACGCCGCCAATGGGCAGAATCGCTTGGAGCAAGTGAACGCGCCTGGGCGTCTGAGGGCCCGAGGGTCAACAGCCAACCCCTTTCAATTGAGGACCTCGGTGGATTTGGAAGCTTGCTTTTTCCATTGACCGGCATGGACTGCCTGGTTGATTTGTCCTGCAGAAGTGGGATGTCCATCGTCAATGTGGGAGGGGAGATGGGTTTGAGAGGCGGGTTTGACTCACCGCTTGACTGGAGTTCAAGAACCTGCCAGTCATCAATTTACAGACACCTTACATATCCTGAAATCAAGAATAATCATGACATTTGACCTCAGGTAAACCCGGAGTGATTGTTGAAGGGTTTCGGGGCCGGGATGTCACCTTGACTGTGTCATTGTTTCTGCATTGGAGGTTTTCTTAACTTTGAACAATCCTTATCATGGTGCACTACCACAAGGCGTACGACCAGTTCAGAATATGCTGATTCACTCCATGTCCATCCCAGCAGCAAGTATAAGTATTGATTCTCTCCTTTGGTTGACTGCAGCCAAAACTGCAAACAGTGTATTTGGAAGACATTCGATGTTTTCAAAGAACCTTCTAGTACTCAGTAGGCCTTTGCCGCCGGGCTGCGGGACCCAAGGGACCCCACACACCGGCTGCTGTTGTTTTCTTCCGGTTGCTGTTCACCGGTCCATCTGCCTTTCTTAGGAACATCGCTCCCTGTAAGTCCATGAATAGGTCGACCAGGTCGACTCCCAGATAGATCAAGTCAATCCCCAACATAAAGAACCATGTGGACACCCTGCACCGAAGACTTATATAGTAGGGGGGTCATGCTGGGGGGGTCATGTGCTTGGTCTCGCCTCCCGGAGCTTGCTCAGCCACCCCGAGACCCGAGACCCGGAGACGAGGCACGGATGGCCCAGCAACAAAGGACCGAACAGATTTCTCCCCAGCCGCTCGGATGGATCACCGATGAGAGCGGGGGAGCGGGGCTCGGCGAGGCATTTCTAGGCTTGGTGCGGCAATAAGGGAGGTTTCGGGTGCGGCCGGGGGGGTAGAGGGGTTGCAACCCTGACCCGCGGAAAACATGGGTGGGGCGGGGTTAGAGTCGTGTTTCTTGTGTGTGTGTGTTTTGTTTTCCTGGGATTGTTTGGAGTCTTAATTTGGGGCAGAACGGTCAACGAACATTCAGCATGTCCCGACTTGTTGTTACTATGAAGGAGTTCTCCTGGGTTAGCACTTGAGAGTTCTCCTCGCGGATCACCATGCCCCAGATATGGATGTGAACTCGGTGGTGCAGAGGAACTGATCAACAGAGCCTGAAGTGTCGATAGACTCCGGGACCTATGCAAGAGACTCTACCAGGATCTTCCTCAGCTGCCAGTTTGGGGGGGTCCAAAGTATGTAGTCCACCGTAGTGTCCAACACATCCAGACAAGTGATGATTGGAGCCGCACGGGGCACGCTGGGTCTCTTATCCCGGGTCCACCGGGCTGTTTGCACAATGCCACTACTGCCGACTGGCGCGTGATCGTATCGAGTTGTGATGGTTGGAGTCCAAACTCATTGATTTTGAAAGGTGTATCAACTGGGAGACGCACCATGAGCATGTTCGTGAACTTTGTTGCTGTAATTTCGGGATTAGCTTCACGCACGGGCCACTCAGGAAGTGGAAGGAGGCCAGGCAGCTTGTGGGGTTTGTGTCACTTAGAAGGTTGGTCGCCATATTGAAGTTGTGAATTCGGGTTTAGTTGAGCGAGCCATCCGTGCGTTATCCCAACCACTGTTCATGCAGTGGTTGTGCTTGTTAGCTTGTTGAATTGATAATATGCTTTCAGTTTGATGGCGTGTGTGGTGCATGTATTCCAAGCCCTATTCATCAACCATTATTTGCTTCTTCGTAGCTTCATTGGTTCTGTCTAACTGTCATTCAAACCGAATACGTCCCAGTCATCATCTACCTAGGTTGCTTTCAAACGCCTTGTCCTCATTCCAGGGGTTGGTTCAGGGTGAAAAAGTTGTAGCCGAGTTTGAAGAAGGAGCAGGATTGGACACAGTCGCCATCAGTCGCCGTCGCTCGGTCACACTCCGAGTCGCTAACGTGTAAGTGGATGGCATCCCCTGTTCATTCGGCAAAGGCTCCAAAATGGGGTGCCATCCATGATGATCTGAGGGAGTGTAAGGTGCTCCTTGGGAGCACCCAGACCCAGATCTCATTGGGCTCTTCAGTGGTCTCCTGCGGTCTCCTGCGTGCGGAACCGTGTGCCGACTTCCCCTTGGACTGGGACCTCGCCTTGATGCCAGGTTGCCTTTGCACAAGAGATTAAAGACTTCTACTCCCGTCACTTCCGCTTGCATCAAGCAATTTTGCATCTCTTTTTTGTTGGTTGTCGGCTGACTCAATAGACTGACCTAGTACTAGCATACACTGTGAAAAATGTGACTTGTTCAAAGAAGAAGAATCCTCCAGCCTTCGAAGAGACTTCGCTGAACGCCCCAATCCGGAATCCGGGAACGTGGTGATGATTTCTTGAACTTCGTTCAGCTTAAGTCGGAAGGGTCTAAGTGAATCTCCCCCACTGACCCCACAAGGCTGACCTTTGTGAAAACACCCGGATTCTAAGCTTGGGGCCTCGGAATCCTTAACATCCCGAACGCAAGTCTTCTGAAAATGTGTTGCACAGATGGAAGACTCAACAGATCGAAAGAGAAGGTGCATTCTTTGTGAACACGGAGCCGCGTTTGGCCGTGAGCAATAAAGAAGACTCTGGGAACCTGGTTCGCAGACCCCAAACACGGCAGCCAAGCGGCCTGTTGAGATGTCAAGCGATCCTTTTGAGGCTGGCTGGGGTCTTCGGGTTGACATGGTTTGACCTAGAATGACATACTTCCAGCCATGTTGAGTACAGGTGGCTCATGATGTATCCGTTTTGTCCTGCACCCAAGGGGTAAAAGCAATTGACCCACCATGCTCAGGCTACCAGCATCAAAGCTGGAAGAACGTCATCAGCGTGGGGGACAGCGTCTTCGAGCGCGACGCGGTTCGCCGCGTGGTCTTGCAACGACCGACACCACAAAAGCGACTCGGCCGACTGCGGTGGGTTCGGCCACGACAGCAACGACTGCAGTCCAGTCAGCCCAGTCAGACGAAGAACTGCAAGGTTTAAGGGTTTAGGGCTTCATCTACAGGATTCACGGAGGGCCGAAGGTGCGGTCTACAGTGTTCGGTGTTCGAACTCACCTGGAGTCCATTTTTAAAGAACGACCAAACCATTTTCACAAGGTCATACTTCGAAACGCTTAACTTGCCTTCGGTCACTGGGTCAACCCGTCTAGACCCAGGGTCCAGCAACGAACAAAAGTGGCCGCTTGTTCGTCGAATGAAGGTCGTTCTCAATGATTCGAGCCTTAGGATCCGGCCCACCTTCAGTCCTGTAGAACGGAGATGGGTTTTGGCTTCCGCCCTTAGTCACCACATCCCAAGACCATCCAAGACCAAACCGACTCGTCGGTCCTAGTCGACCTTCCAGCTAGTCGATCTTCGCTCGCTCGGTCGCCACTTCCGGTCCTTCGCACCCAGGAAGTGTCGCACCAAGACGTTGAAGCTCTTCGCCCCTCGGTCGCCACGGCGCCGGTGGTTGGGGCCGTTTTGGGCGAGGCGGTGGGTGGTTGCCGGTGCTCCAGCAGGTGCGTATACTTGTTGACAGAGATGGTCGGGTCAACCAGCTAATTGAAGGTGGATGGCCATTCGTAGGCAGTCATTGGGAAAGCATAGAGGGTGCTGGGGAGATTACAACATATTACAACTATCATAGGACGTTCAGAAGGCCAAGCCTCAAAGCTATTGTTTTTGGTCGTGGGGCTGCTGGTGCTGGTAGTACACAGAGGGATCATTGGTATTCTCAGGCAGTGGTTAAAAAATGTTATAATGTACTTTCTAGAAATGCTCACCAGATTGCAAGGGGCACCCTTTCAGAAAGTTCATGAGAGGTCCATTGACCTTTGAATCCAACATGTGTTGCGTGCTCAGATCGGTTCTTGTTTTCCGCCTCCGATGTGCCCGGTGCCCGGTGCCCGTGCCCGGCTGCGATCCGCAAGACCTAGGATGATCCAGAAATTGATGAGTTGGTCGCCCAGGACGGACGGGGAGTCTTCGGATTCCGCTTTCTGGGGACGGACGGGGATCGGATGGGATGGTCCAGCCGCTTTGCGAGCACGTGCCGGGGGTTGGTTGGAGGTGGCTTTTCCTTCAATGGCGCCATGGCTCGGTGCATTTGGTGGGATGTCTTGCCATGAATTCAACAGGAAAAGACAAAGGTCATTTTGAGGCTTCAACGACCTGAGGGGATGGTTGGGGCTGGGGGTCCAACCACTTTCGGATCTGGGATGTCATTAGCCCGAAGAGGTGGTCCTGGAGTTACACTAGACTGGGGCAGATGGAAAACAGCACAGATGTCATCATCCCCATATACTCCATGGGACTGGGAAAGGGCCAGGTGTTTGGGGTTGGACAACGCCTGACTGCCTGGCGGAGAACCCGCCCCCCAAGTATCCATGTCTATGGCAGAAAGGTCTATATAGCCAGACACTGGCTGCCGCCCCATGGACCCCCACAACCACCCCAACTGATCGGCATATATGGCAGTCCCATGGAGTCATTGATCATCATTTATTTGACTTGGTGCCCCCCTATCAAGTGCTGAGATATGCTGAGCACATCTAAGCACGTTGTTTTTTTTACAAAAAATGTGTTTGTTTGTAATGTTTGTCAGGGTCCTGGCGTTTTGCGGAGCAAGAGGTAAATGTCTTCGTAATTCAACAGGACTGCTCAGCTGGTGTCCATACAACATCCGGACACCAACTGTCAAACCTAGAGCAGTCAAACAACAGATTTGTTTGAAGCACCGCTTTGACGGAACGACATCGTTCATCCAAATGTAGAACATTGTAGAACCAGACAGTGCGAAGTGGTCCTGATATACAGAGGTTTTCAGAGTCATGGCACAAGTTGCAAGGTTTTTTTTTTTAAAAAAAAATTAATACGGGGGCTATACTATACTTGCACTACCAAACTTGCGAAACTTGGGGATTCGGGATTGTGCCATCTACTCTCAACGTCTCTCAAGTACTGTATATAATAGTTTGTTTGATGATCATGCTTGCCCAAAGCAGCTACCGGGATTGACCAGGTGAAGGTGGTCTATGATGTCATCAATGTGATGGTGCAATATGATGGTGACTTGGACATCGAGATCGACGAGGAGGATTTGAAGATGGATGGACCTTTGTTGGAGAAGCTTCGTGAGTAAATTCGACCAGGCTAAAAGAGCCTTACACATGTGGAAAGCTGCAGTCCTTTTCGGAGTCACAAATCATGGTAGGTCATAGCTAGGTCGTTCCTGTGTAAGAAATTGCATGAACAGCAGAAGCAACAGGCCGTGCATGCATCAGCTAAGACGCTGTTGGGGGTTCAGGACACATCGAAGATGAGCACAAACAAGACAGCGGAAATGATGGCAAAGTCGCGTGCCACTGTCAACCAAAAGGACTCAGTTGATGATAAAAAAAGCCATGCGTCCCAGCTAACCTGCAAAAGGGACGTGAAGAAACAAGTCCTGGAGGTCGTCAAGTATATACTGGACATCAAGAGAAGACAGATCTGACGGAGGGCATTCAAGCATGACCCAGCTGCCTTCCCTTGTAGGAATTCTACACCCAACAGCGCACTGGAATACTACTGTAACTTACTTTAGCATTTGATGGGGGTCAATCTAAATATGCATTGCCACGCACGCCTTCAACCGTCCAAGAGATAATTTGCAAACACCTCTAGGTAGAGTGTTTCAACTTGTGTTTCTCAAGGGTTCGTCAGCATGTTTGGAGGGAGGGGTGTCAAAATGGATCCTTGGCAGATGGAATTGGGCTGCGTACTGTAAATGGAGATAGTAGAAATCAAGAAGGTCACTATTGTATATATGGCAGATGCTGACAAGTCTTCCTTCGTTGCCTGTGGTAACTTTATATTTTGTGCGTGTGTTCTGCAAACCCTTGTGTATTGTAGGATCTTGGAGTGCTACTCCATGCTACTCCGTAAGCCGTGAGAACTGCCGTGAGATTTGGCAGGTGTTGGCAGTTGTCCAAATCCCTCTTTTCTGCCTGGGCTCGTTTGTCCCAGGGTTGGATGTCCAGGACGGCCGTATAAGGGATTTGCCAGTGGCTCCTCGATGGTCTCAAAGAAGGATTTGAGAAAGTCTAAGCGAAAGGCTCCCTGGAAGAAGCATGAAGAAGCTACCAGTATATAGAGGTTCGATGTCGACTTCGGAGGAAGCAAACATGTACATGACGTTTTGACTTTTGAAGGGGTTGGGGTGATGGCCATCTCAATGGCCAGAAGTTTGTGATGTGTGGCATGTTTGCGGGTTGAAGACCAAACATGAAACCCAACAAGTACCTCTATATATATATAGAGAGAGAGAGAGGGAGTCATCCTATATCATCCTAGAGTCTTTGATAGTTCTTGAACACGTGACAGCTCATGAACCACATGAGGAACTCAAGATTTGGACCATCTAGGATCGACCTAGGAATACAGATGTCGCGGGGTCAGCTCAAGGCCGAACCCTGCTGCTTCCTCTACCCGGGCTGGACGGGGCAGGACTCGTTTAAACGAACGCAGAAGAGGCACAGCACACGTGGACGAGAGAGGGGTGCGTCCACTTGCTTCCACTTTATTTTGATCATTAGTAAACAACCGCCATGGGTTTTTCGCATGTCAGAGCAATCTTAAATCTGAAGTTGGCACTTTTCTCAGACCACTGGATTGGATAGTTGTGTTCCAGTTGTTTTCCAGCATGCTGTATGCCGTTCAATTTGAAGTTCGGCCCTATCTTTTTAACAGTTAACAGAGTGATGCAACTGTCCAAGTCCCGGATGTCTCCTGGCATTGGGGACATTGCTTTGACATCGCCCGAGCTGCCGACACCCCTGCTGCACAAAGAGGGGAAAAAAGCGGAGCTGAGGAGCGTGGAGCAATACCCACAAACATGGAAGTGGAACAGTGGCCCCCCCTTGAAGATGTTGCTCATTGTCAAATTGTTGCTCTTTGATTCCTAGAATTCAAAACCTGAGAGAATCTATAGATGTAGCTGCCCGCTCTCGTGTGGTTTGGAAGGAACTGGATTTCGGGGCGAACTGGTCAACCAATTGAACAGGATTCTTGATCACCTCAGGGACCATCCCGTAGGTGAATCATCCAGAACCCAGTGGATCTGCAGAGGATCTGAAGATGACCTTGGAAGGACAAAGAAGGAGAGGAGAGTGGAATAGTTAGCAGCTGATTCTCGAAGTTCCTGATGTCTTGGGATGGGCAGCTCTTCCTTTGTATCCTTTGTTGGGGAAATGCTCGGACCGAGCCCGGCTTCCCTCAGACCGAGCTAGGCGGGGCCTTGAGAAGGTACGAGTCTTCCTGGAGGTGGCGACGTGCGGAAAAGGGGCAGAATGGGACACGAAAAGAGTATAAGCCAGCAGTCACAAAGGGGTGCTTAATGAAGGCTAGGGATGCCCATTATCCACTCACTGGATGGGACTAAAAACCCACCCCGTCTTGTGACCCCAGGAGTATGTAATAAGTGTGTCCTTCAGAGTAGATGGCACCCAAGTTGGGTGGTTTATATGGACCCGCATCAGTTCAGGACATTTTCGGGTGTGTGCCATCTATTCTTGAAGACACTGTAAGACGCATTTTTTTGCGCTGGGCACATCCGGACTCTCAGTTTCACACATAGCCTCGGTTTTGTCAGATAGTTAAGTCGAGACTGTTTTGACCAAATGTCCTGGTTGACTCAAGAGTTGCATGGTTGCACTTGCAGCAGGTTTCCTGCTGGGTTGACTTGAGACGCAGAGTGCAGGCTTTTCGGACTGCGGACTAGTGCATTGCGTAGTAATTGGTGGGGTGATTATAAGACGACAAACCCTTCCCTTGTTATGGAGAGACAAGATTGACCCAGTGTAGAATCTTGATTATTAGTTGTAGAACCTCTCAACAAATAATTCATTCAGAATGAACAAAACATCAATTGAATTGTATGTATTGAAGAACACATGTCATTGGAATGTATTGAATTGTAAAACCTCTCAACGGTCCCATCCAACGCCCTGAACCAGCGTTTCGCTGCAGGAGAAGCATACGGAGTTGCTTGGGACCTTGGGTCGGCTTGAACTTCTTGCAATCATGGGATTTGGTGATTTGGTTCATGCGCACGTTGAGAGAATGGCTAGTTTGTTTTATGGTTTCAGGAATGTTTCAGGAATATCTCAAATTGACGATCTATGGTTGCTGTGACTAAGTCGATGCTTTGGAGCTATATATACCACTTAGACTTGCCGTGGTTCTCAGTTCAACCATCGCGCACTGCAGCACATCAGCGGCTGATGTGCCCAACAGAAATGGCCATGCGAATACAGATGCGTCTCCTGCCTCCGGGGATCCAAGATGCTTACCAAAGAGGCTCCAGTCGTACCTCAGGTTCGGTATGACTAGACCATCTAGACCCTAGCACCCATCCCAGTCCCACCTTCCCAGAAGCTACGACTGGAGCCCTAGGGGGATTGAATCATGGATGCAGATCTTCAATGGCATCTCACAAATCTGGAGGATCACTACAGATGAGACAGATTTGCTATAGGAGCAAGAAGGCTGCTAGGAGCATTTCGGGCATCGCTACTAGGAGCGTTCGGACGCTACGAACGGGGCTCCTGGCCTTACTAGGAGCAATGTTCGCCACGAACGGAGCAAAGGTCACGGTCACCTCAGTCCGCGCATCACCGAGCGAAGACGGTCGGGCGGTCGAAGATGTGGGTTAAATGGGCACACCTGGAGGTTCCACTAGGCCGGTGTCCGGAGACCTTAACCTTTGCCCCCCCTATACCACATGAGTTACTACACTGGGCTTGGACCTGCTCCAAAACCATGAAAAACACACTTGCCGCACCAGATGACCTGGGATTCGAGCCCTTAAAGAGCACCTGGCCTTGGGCGCCCCAATGGCGGTATGTACACATGGCTTTGGCTGCTGGCTGCACCCGTCTCACCCTGTGCGGCGCTCGTCTCCCCTGTGAGCCTCCGCTGCCGTGGACCGGTGGCGCCGGAGGGGCCTTACTGGGAAGAGGTGCGCGGCAATCTGTCGGGGAAGCCCAGTGGCCGTGCAGCGTGCAGCTGAGCACCGGAAGACAGCGCTGAGCGCGTCATGTTTTTCCACTTCGGAGAAGAGGTGAAGAGGTACCGCCAGGATGATGAGCGCTTTTTTCAGAGCAAAGCGAAGTGGTGCATGTATGTGCATGTCGCTGTTGAAACTATATAGGTCCGAGCGGAGTCAAAAGAGTTCCGATCGAGATTGGTGTATCCTTTTGGAGTGGACAGCACTTCTGCTATCCAAGAGGTGGTTGATGGATTTATATTGCCAGGTCTTTCTCCCTCTCTCTCTCTCTCTATAGCATATAAAACCCACTCCAGGCCAATCCATCCTCCCTACGTCCCCACCACGTTCACTCCAACGTTCCGAGAAAAGGTCCTTCTATGCGGCCATGAACTTGGCGTCTCGCTCCTGGGACGAAAGACCCAAAACGGACAGATTGATAAAGAGAGAGGCAGAGTCCAGATGTTGGACGTTTCAATGTTGGAGAGTGAGTAGTGCTATATAGTAGCACTAGTAGTAGCAGTAGTAGTGGTAGTTGTCGTCGTTGTTGTTGTTGTTGTCGTTGTCGCTGCTGTCGCTGTTGCTGGTGCTGGGGGGTGGTACTGCTGCTGTTGCTGTTGTTGAAGCTAACCCTGCACCATCAACCTAAGGCTTAGGCTTGGTGATGGTTTAACATTAAACAGCAAAGTTTTCACTCTATTGACCATTTGCAGGTTCTAGTGGTTTGCCTAGGAAGAACCATGGCTGGCCGAACCTTGGGTAATTGAGGTGAACCTACGTAAGCACCCACTAGTTCGAAGTCACTACTTCGCAAACAAAGTAAAAACATAGAACTGGAGCAGTCCAACCCGGTGGCTTTGTCCAGGGGTGTTACACTAAGATCGATGATCACTTGGATTATGTCAAGGGTCCTGACTTCACCCTGGACGCACGGTCGATCCCTGCTGATACCTCGGGCTCAGGAGAGATCACCCTGGACGCACAGTCGCCTGTCTATTGGCAGATGAGGGACTTGTGGAGGCGCCTGTCCATTGAGGAAGGTGTGCTTGGTGGATCGGTGGGGTGAGACTCACGAGCGGTGGGTGAATCTTCCCTAGGGCCCCTGGCCCACCTCCGTTTCGGTTCGATGGGCCAGGGGTGGGTGCCAGGAGGGTCGAGTACCACCGAACCTGAGGAGATGGCCAGTAGCCCTAGGGCTTGATCATTGTGCACACCTTTTCTGATTCTAAAGGCACAATGGCCTCGCAGAGTCAATCCCCCCCAGAGTCTGTGTGTCCGTTCCAAGCTCTAAGAGTGAAGAAGTTCCCAGCTCTAGGAGTCCAACCTCTTCATGTAGATGTAGATTAATGAAATTAGTTGATGATTCATGTAGACTCTTGATGAATAACACCCTCCCCCATGGTGGATTGTAGAACCTCGTCATATGGGGCCATGTATTTGTTTGAGAAATCAAGAGGCTACATTCCCCATCCTCATCATCACAGGAAGACCCTTCTCCTGCCATCCAGGGAGGAGCCGTTTCCATGGTTGCATGGAGGGAAAGTACGGCCCGAGGATCGGCACAGGAGCCATCTGGACCTGGTCCTGGAGGATCTGTAGCCATCTGGACACGGTCGCGTCCAAGCCGCTAAAGGCCTCCATGGAGGGAGGTCAGACGGACTTTGAAACTCGTTTGTCCTCCGGTCGGGATCCATGTGAGCTGCACAGTCCATGGTCAGTTCAGTCCGTCTGTGATGTTCAGTCTTTGTTCACACCCACGCGCTCATCCAGGCGGATCGACACCAATGCCACGCTCTCATTGCGTGCTTCGTCGCTGGGGCATGAACATGTTTGCGCAAGACAGGGTGGCTGGGTGATGCGGGGTGGGAGGGTTTTAGTGACTCTAGTGCAGTGGTAAGCTGACAGGGCTAGAAGCAGGTTCTATCAAAATTCTCAGATGTTGCCCCACTCATTCATCCTCATGATGAGTTATCATGTTTTTCTGGTATGGCACTCTAGCTCGTGCACCCAACATGTGCACTGAGGGTTTGGGTCTCAAAAAGGATGAGTCAGCGTAGAATGCGGAAGGGATGCGAGTTCTTACAACTCTCAAGTCGGATTTCGTGGCTGAAGAGTTAGAGTTGTACAAAGCCCATATCCATCAGGCAGAGGGGTTAGTTGCTCACATGTTCCCCAGAGGCAACTTCCAGATATATACCTCCTATATGCTAAGGATTAAGGATGGCTTTTGGAGGTTGAAGTGCTCGGTGAGCACATATTGAAGGTCCCCAGGAAGGTCTTGCATTGTTGGGAACTTGTAGTTAGAGCTTTCTTCTGAGGAGGCTGAAGAAGTCGAATCCCTGAGATGAAGTCGTATGGCCAGAAAGGGAAGTGCAAGCAGGAGGAGAAGTCCAGAACCCGATGTCCCAGCTTTTTAGATGACATATGTTGTGATGACATGTCCCTTGATCGACAAAACATGTAACCTTTTTTTTCCTGGGTGGCCATGGGGGGACAATGTAAGACATATTTGTTCACTGTGTATAGTGGTCCCCAAGAAACGGTTTCCAATACATGTTTAGTGGGGATCTACTTTTCCTATGTTTTTGTGTTGATGCAAATCTTTGCTGGGTTGATCTTGAGTTTGATTCATTCACTTTGCGGCTCAGTTTTTAAACCTGGATGGACATCCTCGCTGAGGCAGGAATGTGCTGTTGGATATGTGAGCTTGAGTCAAGGCTGCATTTGGTGAAGGAGCTTGTCGATCACCCGTAGCTGGCCTGCAGCCCCGGGCTTCATGATGTTTCATCATATTTCAACCATGTTCAACAACGTCATACCACGTCTAGATTGATCAGAATTTACTCATCCGACATGCAGGGCTCCCCTGCAGCATCAGTGAGCTGCGTTTGGTTTGCAAGTTAAGTTGGGGGGTGACTGGTTTTTAGGAGTTTCATCAAGGACTCCTGCCCACCCAAGCCACCCACCCACCCACCCAAGCCGTCCGAAGGAGACCAGGGGCCACCAATAAGAACCCAAGAGGGGTGCCATTTGGGATCGCAAGCAGCGAACACCGTTGAGGAAGCTCATCGGCTTTATGTCTCTCAAGGAGCCTTGGCCAAGGGTTGGGAGTTCGGCTGGACTTAGCTGGAGAGAGAGAGAGAGAGAGTGCCCAAAGCACTTCTTACCAGGGAAGTATGTATATACCTTCGTGCTTGGTGTTGCAATGTTTTGCCATTATTGAAGTAAACGCATATTTGGTGTTTGCGCGTGTCCTGCTTTGCCACATGTGTATATATATATATATATATATGTAAAGAGAGAGATTGTAATTGCTTCTCTCACGTACCTTCAGGCCACTTGCACTAGGTCAGTTTGCACCTCTACACTTAGAGTTCAGCTTGGATGAGGAACAGAAGATGTTGTCGTCCAGATGCCCTGTGCACCCACCGTTGGACCATGCTCTCCATTTCGCCAACTCGGATCTTAGATTCCTTACGTTTGCAACACTAGAAACACCCAGACACACTGCAAAACCATCCCCACGGTATTGATGTTTGTTCATGTTCCTCACGGAGGCCGCATTTGGAACGCAGATGCGTTCCATTTGAGGCCGCGTCTTTGCTGGATGAGTTGCTGAAGTCTGAAGGCTCCTTAAATTCAATGAGAGGTTTTGATATGTTTGGTCATGGATGTGCGGTCCCCCAAATGGACTGCTTGCAAGACATATTACATGTGCTTCAACCAGCTGCATTTACGAGCACAATCCTCATTTTGCCGTTGTCTTCAGTAGATGCCGTTGTTGTCCACTGAGCCTCCAAAACGTCTTTCAGCTCCCTGCTTGGTCTTTCGCCCCTCCGCCGAAGATGGTCGCACGCGCGAGTCTCGGTCGCGCCCGCGACGGCAGGGGTGATGATCCACGAGGTCTTTCGGCTTCTGTCCTCTACGTGACCTGGAACCGGATGGCGGGAGGAGGAGCGGAAGGGCAAAGTCGGCAGCATTGAAATGGACGGAAGTGTTTCTAGAGTCTATACCGTGCAAGGCGTCAAGTAGTTGTTTACACGTTCAAAGTTGTTGTGCATGTTTTCAGATGAGTTGAGGTGTGTTTTGTCTCAAAGGCATATGTGTTGCCTTTCAGACGTGTTGCCTATTATCTCCAAGCCATATTTGTTGCCTTCCTATGAAGGAACATCAAAGCCATATGTGTTGCCTTCTCCCAGAGCCACCACTTCGTTCAGATGAATGACTCTGAAGGCGGAGGGATCCAGGCTCCCAGCAGGACTTCGGAACCAAATCCAGCTTTGAGGTGGTGGACGGCGTGCTTTTTTCGTGTGTTTTTCATGTTTCTTGTTGAGTGCAGGAGTCTTCGTGACCCATGCAACTTAGTGAACATTCTGATATGTGTCCCCCCATAATGATTCTCTCCCGAAATGGTCCCAGACAAAGACTCCGCAGACGAACACCCCCCCCCGCCCAAACCGCCTACTCTCACCATGGACCTACTCTCAGTGGAGAATCGTTCACCTTGTTGCGGTGGATTGGTTTTCCTCCCTTGAAACGACCTGTGTCATTCGCGTCGCGAACCGACCGGAGTGTCAACGATGCTGTGAGTCCTCCACACAACTCCATCGACTGGTAAAACCGAACAGAATGGGTTTCGGTGAATCGACCTCTTCGCTCGACCTTTCCGGGGGGCTCGGGAGTCGAGGTTGGATTGGCAGCTCTTGGCGGCTTCCGGCTGGCCGCTCTTCCGGTTGCTGGCTCGCCTGGAGTGGCTCGGCCTCGCCAGTCAGGAACTGCCAACCAGGGCGGAAGACCTGGTCTTCTGATGTCTTCTGGTCGTTACGTGATGTCATGGAAGTGGAACCCCCCCTGTTTGTAGAGGAAAACTTGTTTTCCAAGGGACCATTTTCCACTTCCATGTTAGTTCCAGGGAGAGTAGACTCTTAAGATGACAACTCCTCCATACTCTAAGAGGTGTTTTTTTAATGAGACGTCCAAGGCTTCACCAATGGGTCGACGGCGGTGATTCTAAGAATGGTTGGATGTTGTCCGCGCAAGCATGGCTTGGATTGTTTTGGCAGGCAGGCTGGAGGATGGTCGGTGCGGGAGCTTCTGACATACGTGGTCAACCCTTCTACCCGCTTGGTGCGGTTTTCGGCGCTGTTGGACACAGAATGATCAGTATGGGAGTTGGGGAACATCAAAGAGACCAAGACAGTGAGTAGAAGCCTCGGCTGGGAGCTGAATGGCCGGCCGGTTCCACACAGTTTTCAGTGATTTGCCAAATCTATTTGGTATAGGGGCCGTTCAACCTTTACTTGGGGATGATGAACCCGCTGACAAACATTTCTCAAGTGAGTTGAAACCACCAACCATGCAGTTACATATTTATTGTCCAGGATGGTTCCAGGATGATGCCACAAAGGCTTCTATGTGGTGTTCTTCCTCTCAAATTCCGTTGATCAAATGACTTCAAGCACCGCTTGAGGGTGGACAAACGGGTCAAATCGCACACATGTGCCAACGCGATGAAGAATCGAAACAGGTCGCGGTCGAAGGTATGTTGTGTCTCCAAGGTACTTTGCACACCTGGAAATGGGAAGCGCCAACCCCTTGAATGATCAGCTTCTTTCAACTTGGGCCTATGCCGCTTGGCCAGCTTATCTCAGAGAGGGTTCCCCGAGTAAACAGTCCCTTTGTTTCACATGTTTTGCATTGAACCCCTCCAGTTCTGGGGAATAAATTAGTTTGGGGGGGTTGCAATTTCGGTGGTGGAATTTGTCATCTTTATTCAAGATGTCATTTTTTGGAAGGCTTTGGTAAGGTCAACTCCCCCATCCCTTGCTGCTTCTTTGGCTCAGAAGGAACTAAAACAAACACGGAGCGCCTCCTCCCAATGCCCCTCACAAAGTCGGCCCATGGCCCAAGGCCCCTGCAAATCCGTGAGGTTGATGGATGTTCATGTATCAAAAGCAAGAGTTTAGGAAGATGTAAGTCCATGGTGTTGATAGTTTGGTTCTACCTGAAACCTGTGGAGCAGACCCTTTGTTGATAGGCAGAGCGCCTCTTTTGCCCATGCCCCGATCAGCTGCAGGAAATCCCCTTCCTCGAAACCGTCGAGCACCACCTGCTGCGCGGCACGCCCGTGCCGGCGGCAGCACCTCGGACCAACTGAAGCGTTTGAGGAGAACCACACCCAAGTGGTGGTTCCAATTTGCATCATTAGATTGCAGTGAACATCAGTAGAATCATAGAACAACTTTATCCATGCAGCTCATTGTAGTAGAAGGTAAGTGCAGATGTTGATTGATCTCCGCATTGCTTCAACCTCAGAGCTGGCCGCTTGAAGGCTTGAAGGCAATTTAAGCTGATGAAACACCATGGCCTGGCCAATATGGCTGTGAACAGCCAGGGCCAGCATATGCCAGCATGTGTTGCATGTTTCTCCAAGCTGCTGGTTTCTGGGAGGGGAGCTTCCTTGGCAATGGAGGTTCAAAAAGGGCAACCAGCACGTCCTTCCAAAGCAACCACCGCAGCACGTCCATACCGTGCCCAGAATCACATCTCCCAGAAACCAGCCAGAAACCCGTTGCAGGTTCACTTCCCAGCCACTGTAAGGTTCCCTTAAACCTCCAAAAAAAGGTGTCCCTTCAACTTGCTTGAGGCCAGTAGCTTGGTCCTGTCCTACACGGACTATTACTCGCCCTTGGCACGTGCCCTGGCCTTGCTCGCCCTCGCGGATGTGCTCCGCGCGCCGCAGCGCTTGACGCCGGAGGAGCTGGGGGAGTCCGCAGCTCGGCGGAAGGGTCGAAGGAGCATTGAGGGAGCTTCAGCTGCTTAAGCTTATAAGCATTTGCCCCAAGAAATGTCTTGGGAAGAGTTGGGAAGTTCTTGGGAACTTGGCCTAGGGGGGCGGTGGGGTGCTGGAATGTTGTGAAGAAGAAGGTCTTAGCAACTGCGAGGCTCGGGTGAAAGTGGTGCAAAAGAAAGAAAGAGGGGCCCTCCAATTTCACCTCTTTTTGTGACAGGTCATTGTGATGGACGGTGTTTTGCCCAAAATCTTGTGGCCCCTCTTGAGGGAACACAGCAAGTCTAAAAATCCCTGTGTGGAAGTCCCGAGATCTGAGATCTGATTGACTGGCCGGCCTTTATTCACTCCTTGAGGCTTTCAGTCAAGGTATCAGAAACGAATCAATGAACGAGCTTCTGGCAGGGTGTCCTTCTTTTGCTTGTTGAATCAGACCCACGCCCTTCACGGCTGCGACGCCGCCTCTATCCACCGGACGGGTCCCCCGCCGTCCGTCCGGGTCGACGCCAGAATCGCCTCGTGCGGCGTGCGGTGTACCTCTTGAGCGCCGCCTGGACCAAGAGCATCGCCGGGAGATCGGCGCGTGGAGATGGGTGGGTGGCCAGGCACCAGGAGAACATCATGGCGAAGGTGGATGAAAAGAAGAGCCTTTTTGGGATGCGTGGATGACCAAGTGGAAGAATCTATCAAATCAACCAACTGCAGTCCTAAGCCTTTTTGCTTGGCCACGAACTGTTGCTTTTACTTCATGGATTGCACACGAGGCATTTTGTGTTTATGCCGTTTGCAATGACAACACTTCCCGACTTAGTGATCTTAGTGGTGACTATGCACAGCAGCCAACCAGCATTGTCAGAAATGATAAATGTGTGTCCTTGACAACAAACGACTCGACTTGTGCTTCGGCAAATGGCAATCATATCTATATCATATTATAGATACACCCTCCTTATTAGGCAATCATGGAAGCTGAGCAGAGACCCTTTTGTAGGTTCCAGCTGGTCTTCCACTTTCAGCTTCAACCTCTTGGAGCACCCCAGCCAGAGAGGTCCCTTGCCGCACGGCCCAGGAGCACTTCCTCAGTGCCACCTATCCGCCCTTCGTGGCGCTTTCGGCGAGATGGCCCATCTTCCAATTGGCTGATCGGCTGGCGTGCCAGGCAGACCGAAGGGACGCCAACCCGGCCAAGCCACCGGTTTTTTTCCATGCCATCCTTTACAGAAGCCAACTTGGTTGCAGTGGTTTCAGAGCAGATGGCGGCACAAAACCCAATAGGTCCTGTCGACAGGGGTTCCACGTCAAGCACCGAACTTGGGGGGGTACTGCGCCATCGAAACCCACTGGATTACCGGGTTTCTGTGCCCAGCTGTGCCACCGTATTTTTTGGTTTCTGAAACCACTGTAATTTCTGTGCAAACTTTAACCAGCCGGGGTGGGTGGACTTAGAAATTCACGGGGTGAGAATTATAATTTGCCCGGACATGCCCAGACTGTAATATGATGTAGTCAATATAGTCTCTGATGGGCGGAGACCGATCCTGTTTCAGGGCTTCGGGCGAAACCGCCGATCCTTTTCTGATCCTTCAGGGTCCAATGGGGGGGTGGTTTGCTTCAATCGCTGCAATAGCTGCAGTCACATGTCGGGGTGCTATCCATGGAAGTTGGGGGTGTGTATAGAACATGCGCAGAATTGCTCACTCAATTAGGGACTATAAACACGACCCCCTTTGTGACCCCTGGGTGAATCAGCTTCGATTCTACAGAAGTTTGATTTCTGCGGTCCACTCGGACAGCGACTCAGTTGGATCCTCGACCCCTATTTGGTGACAAAGTCTGTGTGACATGTCCCCTCTCTTTGTCACGAAAGCTAGCATGCTAGCTGAGTTCTTCTTTGCTTTAGCAATGTTGTGGTGGGAGGGGCTGCGTGCCTTAAAGATTGATATATCAAGCTAACCCCCCCCCCCCGCGGTTCAACTCCCAGCTGCGCCGTGTAGGGGGTTGGTTGAACGTGTGAACGTGGTTGGTTGGGTGTAACGGTGGCTTGGTGTAAAGGGTGCTGCTGCTGCTGCTGCCGCTCTGCTGCTTGCTGCTGCTGTTTGCTGCTGCCGCTGGTTGCCGCTTTTGTAGCTGCTGCTTTGCTACTTGTTGCGGCTTGGTGCTGCTGCTGCTGTTGCTGACGACGCCGCTGCTACTGCTGCTTGCTGCTTGCTGCTTGCTGCTGCTGCTTGCTGCTTGCTGCCGGTGGTGCTTGCTGCCGGTGGTGCTGCTGCTGCTGCGGCTTGATGCTGCGCTGCTGCTGCGTGGTGCTGCTGGCTGGCTGCTGGTTGGTGGTTGCTGCTGGCTGCTGGCTGCAGGCGGCTGCTGCTGCTGCTGCTGCTGGCTGCTGCTTGCTGCATAGGACTTGTACTTCACCGTTACAAGTTGTTTACCCCTATTTCTAACCTAATGCATGCATAAGCGGGTGGTAAATTTACCCCCCAGGCTTGCTATAACCATACACCGGCTATTTCCTCAAGACACTCTATTCTTGATACCTTTTACCAGTGCTTATCCTACACTACGGACCCTAGTGTATGCACAGCCCTTGTGATGCTTACCCCTCGTTCCGGCTCAAGGCATACATAAGCGGGGGGTAAATTTACCCCCCAGATTTGCCATAACCATAAGCCGGCTATTTCCTCAAGACACTCTACTCCTTCTACCTTTTACCCGTGCTTATCCTACACTACAGACGCCCTAGTGTATGCACAGTCCTTGTGATGCCAGAAATGCTTATCCCTCTTTCCAGCGCAAGGCATACATAAGCGGGGGGGTAAATTTACCCCCCAGATTTGCAATAACCATACACCGGCTATTTCCTCAAGACACTCTATTCCATATACCTTTTACCCGTGCTTCTCCTACACTACGGACGCCCTAGTGTATGTACAGTCCGTATGATGTCAGAAATGCTTACCCCTCTTTCCGACTCAAGGCATACAAAAGCGGAGGGTAAATTTACCCCCCAGATTTGCCGATCACGCATCTTCGTGCCTGCCAACGAGTGCACCCGGGTTGTTCCAATGTACCCTTCCCAGTCAGCGATGTCACATTTACATTCTTTAGCGCAAAGTATGTACATAGCAACCTTCCTCCCAAAACATGTCATCCCTACATGCTTTGCCGACTATGTAACTAGTACATCCGGTGCGATTCGGCTAGCTTTCGACCTCTCCCCCTGGCCTCAAGTTTCTCAGTTTCTCAACCACCTTTGAGGGAGAATCTTGAGCTGTGTGAATCTAGATGAACCTGCATGTGTAGGAGCCACGCAACTCTTGAGTCTTCATTTGGGACCCACCAATGAGTCTTCGGGCTTATCTATATCATGCCCGGAATCGTCTGCAAATTTGCAGATGAATCAACATGAGGGGAGAGACTCCAAGCAACACATCAGGGAAACAAATAGAAATGATGCATGTAATGTCATGTCACAAAAAGGCTTCCACCAAACAATGCCAACTCATTGTGTGCAGAGACGCATTCAACTTCTCTGGAGTGCAAGTCCAGTGTAAAGCTTGAAACTTGATCTTAGGACTTCAAGCTTTACTTGAGATCAGTTTCAAGCTTTGCTTCGCGGATGGATTGATTTGGGTCCATTGTCCTTGCAGCTCCTCTCTCACCCCTCCGCCCACCGAAACGGCCCCAGCTCGCAGGCTGAGGTGCGTTGGCGCTTGCCGGGCCAGGCGGAGGGGAGTTCCAAACCTTGGATGGAGCTGCTGCCGATCCCAGAGAAGGCGCTTGGATATGGACACGAGAGGTGGGAGGATTTGAGAGGTGGGCACGGTATCGGTCGAAGAAGCCCCCTTAAGACGCTTTGCGTGCTCCAAGTGAGAGGATGTTTGGCCCAATTGACCAGTCAATTGTTAGGCTTGAAGGGGAAGAAATCCTGCAGAATCATGGTGGAATGATATATCCCAAGCTGCGGAGGGAGTCCGTTTGACCAAGCAATGTATAGCGGGCTTTGGCCCAAGCCCAAGCCCTCACTCCTCATGTCCCAGACCACCCCCACAAAATACTATGACTCATGACAATGACCATCGAGCCTGGACAATTCCCAAAGCAAATCCAAACACCATTAACATCAAGCTTGGCTTCTCCCATTCAAAAGCTGCACGTACCCACAACCGCACACACCATGTTTGTTCCATGTCAATGGTATTTGGTCAATTTGGCGTCTTGCCAGAATTCCTCCAAAAATACACACATGTGTCGATGGCGGGACCTCGGGGTCCGAGTCAGCAGCCCCTGTGTCTACGTCCGGCACGACATGGTGCACCAGGTGTCAGATGTGGTCCGCGCCTGCCGCTTGCCGTATTGATCCCTGGCCAAAGCTTGGCCGTATCGGGGTTCATTGGTTCATGGGCGGCCCTGCGATTGAGCTGGTCGTGGGTCGTGGGCCATGGGGCAATGAGCAAAATCTCGTTCTGGAGAGCATATGAGCTGAGTAAACAAGCCACTTTCACCATTGCAGAGTCACATTCGGGACAGAAGCCCAAAGCATGTCGAGATAGGGATGGTTGGGTGCGTTCCATAACGTAACGTGTTTGTTGTTGTCAAGGGCCTCACCATGCTTTAGCCATCCACAGCCAGGCGACTTAAGCTTCATGGAGCTGGTTCTCCGTGTTGCAGCTGCTGGGGTCCCCAGCGGTGGCAGCGGACTTTGCTGTGGTTCTCTCTCAGACCATGTGTAAGTCTTGTATGCTGTTTATGTGTGGGTATGAGCATACCTGCTGGGGTGTGAGCAGACCTGCTGGGGGGCAGACAACCCACTTCCTCTATGATTATGCTGATGATGCAATTTGTTAGGCTTGAAGAATTGCATTGTTTATTAGGTTAGGTTTTATTCGGCTTGGCCAACCTTGGTGTAACGAATGCCAAAAGAATCCATTTCTTCCACTAAAGACTGCGAAAAACCATCTGGACCTGAATACAGATGATGAGGAATCCTAGACCATCCATGTCTGGAATAGTTCCATACATTCTGAACATGACCCATCCATCCATAGCAACTCTTCCAGCTTCCGATGCTTTGGGATTCCTCATGCTTCGTTGCTTCAGCCGGATCGATCGAAAGCGCGCCCCGCGCCGCCCCGGCGTGCCCGGAGAGGTCTCCAGCAGCTTGCAGCTTTTGGAGGTGGGTGCGAATCTGGGCGATTGCAGCCTTTGGGCAGCGGCGCATTTGGGGAGGCGAGGGTGTGACACCAACGAACGAACGAACGACCGCAAGACCGGCGGTCTGGGGGGCTTGGAATGTTCTGAAAAGCCATTTAGTCCGGGTCCATTCTCATTCTGAAGAACTCCTTGTTCTTCCAGAAGGTCCGGAACAAATCCTGAGCCTACCTCCCATGTAAAGCTTGCAAACGTTATTTTTTTTCAGAAACACCCTGCCATGCCACACCTGAAGCCTCACGAGGCGCCTCCGTGCCGCTTGGGCTGTGGAACCGCTGCCGCCCGTGGCGGCGGCTCTGCGGCGGTCGGTGCGGCGGAATGGCTGGGAGCAGAAGGTCCAGGTGGGCGGAAATGGCTGGGAGGCCGGTGGAAAAGGAGGTCAGAGGGTGATTTATATACTGCATTTTATATATGTGTAGGAGGGTGATAGTGAGGGTGATTTGTACTTGAATTTATGTAATACATGGTTTATAGGCTTAGTACTGTAAAAAAATACTGTATGTGTTCATGATGTGTAGATATGTGTTGATGTTGTTTCTATTGTCATACATCATCATACATTCTTGAGGCTTTATATATTATATGTGATATGTCGATAATAGATAATGATATGTGTTTCTATGGTTGTTTCTTGGTTGTGTGTGTGTTTTTTTCACTTGGTAGTTGTTTTTTTGGGGGAGGTTTCCGGGGAGATGAGCTAGGCTACTGGCTAGTTCCGGCGGCTGCTCGGAGTGCAACAAAGATGTGGGAAATGCGCCTTCCAAAGGTTGACAATCATGTTTGATACCTTTTGGATGATTGATATTGATAATTTCAGAATGGTGGGGAACGATGAAGAAACAACCCGGGATGGGAGGGTGGAGAAGCTCTGGAAGTTACTGCATTGATTGCCCCAAGAGTTGAGCCTAAATTCAGGGGAGTGACAGCCCTACACCTCCAAGTACCTCAGAAGGTACTTGGAGGCCTCGGACAGATCTTTGTTCAATCCTTGTCACCTCCGAGTCTCGCCCGAGTCCCGTGCACCAGGTCATTGAAGCCTTAGCCGGTGAGCGTTCCGGCGAGCGTGGACGCCTGCACTTTGTGGGCCACGCTGATGGGAACCCCTTCGCCAGTGCTTCTGCCCCTTGGAGCTACCTGGGAAGGTTTGGGGCTGGGATCTCCCCATGGTACCCTACGATGGCCTAAGCATAGCTGGTACCCTAGCCCAATCTACACTCGACGAGAAAGAGGTGGACAAGTCCTTAATTAATTCAGTTTTATTCCCAGCAACCTGGGGAGGTTCAGAGCATATGAAATGGAGTGAATACCAGAGTTATTTTTTCTTAACTCTGGTGTTAATTCTTTTGTCCTTGGGTGCGCATCAGCATGTGCCTCAATAGAATTAACTCCCAAGTTAATTCTTTTTGTCACCCCTACTTCTGGAAGAAGCAACTCCAGAGTTAATTCTTCATTGTTTCTTTCTGTATCGGACCCCTTCAGGACCCCATATGGTATTTGATGGTCCAAATTCTTGGAGATTCACCCACGATGTCAGTAGCTCCCATCATGTGTTCTCATCATGATGCTTATGCACGATTCCTTTGCCCAAGCGCCTTGTAGGAGGGCTTTCGTCCGCATGATGCCCCCCTCAAGACTCTTGAATAATTTTACTTTGGAGACTAGTTTGGACACGCCCCTCCCCAAATCCGGGCATTCAGTTGGAGACTAGCGCATGTTTTCGTAGCTCCCAGAACTTCACAGGTACAGAAATGTTTGGTTCTTGCCCTCTCGATCCACATGGAACCCCCGGTGAGTGTCAAGGCTCCCGGTGATTCAAGGGGGTTAAACATGCGGACTCCCCACATGTTTCTTGACCGGCAGCGAGCCACGACCAAAGTCCCACATGGTTTGTTTTAGTGGGAATTTCAACTTAAGAGATGTTCCACCAGGTCCCACACAAGTTTTTCGATTTGTCCTCCTTCCAGGCAGCTCCGCAATCGCCCTCATCGGCCGTCCCCTCCGTGACGGCGCGTGTGGTGACGGTCGCCCAGTTGTTGCGGCTTCGCGTGAAGAAAGTGGCAACTCGGTGAAGTTGGTCCATCCCATCCACATCATCCTCCCATCGACATCCATCCATATATGAAAAATCTGAAGGAAAACTGCCCCTCTACTTATTGAAACATGTTAAGGAAGAACACATCCATCTATATGAGAGACGTTCAGAGTAGTCAGTGGAGTGCGAGTTTCTCACAAATGCTGTCCTGACCTGAGTGAGGGCTTTCCAGTTTTCCAGAATTAACTATTTTTGGACCGTGCCTAGGCCTAACTTTTCCGTGAGAGCTGGAACGAGCCCCGCCATTCCCAGCGTTCCCCTCCGCCAAAGCATGAAGGGCAGAGAGTCAGAGGATGCACAACTCTAGATCTAGGATGATCGATGATCTATTGGTCCGTTGTGATGAACTTTACCCGTTTCCTTTGCAGAAGTTCATCAGCCTTTGTTAATCTGTTAATCGTATATATACCACTGCACATTTGGCAAACCTCCATCGAAGGTGTTTTCCGATGCCTTTGGCCCCAAAAACCGCCGCTCCTCCGAAACGGCCCCTTCAAGCCGTCCGAACTCCTCCGCTCACCGCTCCGCTTCAAACCGGGTTGGTTCCAATCGCTCCACTCGGTGAACCCTTTAGGCGACCATCCTCAAGCTCTACGCCTACGGTGACTTGCGGGACCGTCTTCAGGGACGTGCGGCGCCGAAAAGAAAAACCAGGTAGGAGTGAAGTCCAAGACAGAAGGCAGGCGTTTGAAAGCGGCGAAACATAGAAGTATAGGATAGTATCGGCAGGTACACTCTGACTTACTAAAATTGAGGGGGAGTGGCCCCTTGGAAGACTATACTGAGTCGGAGTGTAATGAAGTAACATGGGACAATTAGTGAAATACAAGAATCATTTTGTTTGCCGAATGTTTAACCCAAAAAGCAACATTGAAAGGACAGAAAGAGCATGAAATAGAGCACATGGATCATAAGACCACCTTGGTGTTTATCAAAGGCTCATTCATCCTTTGGGTCTTTCGCACTTTCCATCGTTTGTACCTTTACTTCCTCTACAAGCAATCAATGAATTGGTTTTCCGGTAGATGTTCCCTGTAACCCATTGACGAAATCGGCGCTCCTTGCTCCGTGCCGCGGCGCAGGACGTGCTGCGTGGCGCTGGCGCGGCTCTTCGTCGCGCCGACGCTTTGTGGCTGGCCTTTGCGGCGGGGCAGCTGAAGCACCCGGCGGCGGCCGCGGTGCGGACGGAACGGGGGTTGGTGTTGGGAGGAACATGGAGGAAGAGACCGAAGAGGTCTGGAAGATGATGGAAGAATTGGTGGAATTTGCACTGAATCCACCGGTCCCAATTTATTTTCTTCATATTTCATATTAATATGTCTTTCATTCTTCTTCCGGGAGCTTCACGTCCTGCTTCATGCCTCTTTCGGCTTGGTGAAACTTGGGAGGTGAAGCTCTTCGCGCTGTTGAAGCACCACTTCGGCTGCTTGGCCCTACCGAGCTTCCAGGTGGACTGGTGCCGCTGCGGAGCCACTCGCATGGCCACCGGTCGGAGGCAGCGCGAGACCGAAGGGGCGCCACGCGTGGTGAGGTGGAGCGAGTGATGAGACAGGCCCCATGAAGTGTCCCTAAGATGAAGTGAACCAATGCACAACATAGTAACAACATGTAACAACTAGTATCAATTGATTATCATTAATATGTAACAACTAGCACAACATATTAACAACTAGCCTAGCAAGTTGAGCATTTGTGCAAAAGATGTGCGATAATCACGCAAATGCCTATCAGACAGATGCCGGAAGCCAATTTTGTAAATTTGCAAACGGGCCCCTGGCCATTTGCTTTAGCTTTATATTATATAGTAGGTAAACGCATCATTTGTGTGTTCCTCGCAGGCCTTTGCCTAAAATCTGTTAAACGCAACACCATGCAATACCTGTGATGTCCACATCCATCAAGGGCCATGGGTTCTTAACATTCCACTTCTTTCGCACTTTAGACTTGAATGTGCATTTTGTGTGCAACACCTGTTGCGACAACAGCTGGCTACATTGTGTGAGTTGCAGAGCGAAGTCTGCAACCCTGCGTTGCATTCATTGTTCCTGTTGACGTTAAGTTATAAACAGACGATGTCACAGATGTCACAGACAGGATGGGCCGCTGGCTTCGTCGAACCGCTGGGAAGAAGAGCTCCTTGGTATATGCCAGGGTGGTCGACAAGATTTATATTTAATACCATGTTTGGCGGTGCAAAACGAACCGTGGTTGTCTTTAAATGGTCGGTCTTGGACTTTCTTGGACCTTGTCGAGATTAGACGTCTTTTTTCCTGGGCGCGTGAGTCAATAGAAAACAGGGCCAATCTTTGCATGATTATTTTTCAGCTGAGTTGGTCCGGACTCCTTTGAACAACTGCTTGGAATTCGAAGCGTGCTAAGCCCTTACTTGCCCTCACGTGCTCTCCGGCGGGTGCCGTTTCCGGCCGGTGCACCGTTGACGGCGCGCGCTTGGAATGATGGTTTGGTTTCAGGGTCTACGCATAGTTCTAGTTCTAGGCATCCATTACCATGGAGCCTTTGAGTTAGAGCCATGGCAACCGCACCGTGGCAAGCCGTGTGGTTTTTGGGCAGGCATGCCTGTATGCACAAGGATAACCTCCACCTTCGCTTGATTTTTTTCCCATCAATGATGTCAACCAGCCTTGCCACTGCCATCAGTGATGGTCTTTTTGGCTTGGCATTTGAGGTGCCTATACCATGGTCTACGTGGTGGCTTTCAAGCCAGGCTCTCTCCACTGCAAGCCTTGGAGCACCGCGGCTTGGTGTACTCGGTGAAATTGGGGGCGGCGGCTTAACCGCCTCGGCCGCCTTGAAACCATGGCAAACTGCAGAAACGGCGGCAGGGGAAGGTCTGTCGGACTCAAGGGAGGGGGCTGTTGACCTTCTCTTCGACAAAACATGTACAGTGGGCCATTAGAATAGATGGCAGGGGCCCCCAGTTGGGTGGTGTAAAAATGGACCCCCATTTGTCTAAGACATGTACTGTAGGGGAATGTCCCATCTTCTCTGAAACCACTGCACTTGGAATATTATTGGAACATAGCCCCCTGCAAGAGTCACTTCATCGCGGGAGTTGCTCTTTGAAGACTTTCCTTCGCTTTCCAAAGGCCGTTGTGGGTCATCAAACAGAGCCGAGCCGGTCGACGCAGACGTCAGGGCACTCACCGGTCACCGCCGTGCCAGCACACAGTGCACGCTACCCACCGACTCAACGGCCATAGAAATACAACCAGTGGCTCTTGATCGTCCAAAACTAGAATTCACTTCACTTCACATACCCCCCCCCCCACCCCCAAAAAAATGGAAGACATGGGATTCACATGAGTTCTCCATCAAATGGAATTGGACCGTCCTCAAACGGGACCGTTGCAGGTGGAGAGCGCGTCCACGTCCATGTCCACGCGAACGTGGACGCAGCGACACCTCGACGTGGCGCGGGGATGCTCCTTCGGTGGCTCGGTGGGAGAGGTTGGGAGGTATCGGGAGGTGGAAAAAAGATGAAACAGATTGAAAAAGTGTAGGGAAAGGTCCATGGTGACCCATAAATAGATAGTTGTTGAGGATTTTGGAGCACGTGGCAGGATTCGAGCTATATAATGGCTAAGAATCATCAAGTGACTTGGGAACTTCGAAACGGCGCCCAGAATCAACACCTGCACGTAGTTAGTCACTCGTTAGTGTCGGGGGCTGAGCGGGAAATCGGCGGCCACGCTGCACCTGAGTGTTAGTTTCGAATGAGCTTGAGTCCTTTGGAGATCGTGCAAGGGAGGGGATGTGAACAGAGTGAAGTGAAAGAAAACCTGTACATCTCTGGGCTCAAATCCCCATCTCCATGGCGCTCCATGGCAGCACCACTCCCCAGACCAGCTTTTGAGATGCCATGGGAGGATCACGGTGACAGCTCGTCCGTCCTCTTCGCTCCCTCAGGACGCTCACGGCGACAGCTCCTGATGGCAGGGACCCCGGTGTTGGACCGGACACCGCTCGTGTCAGTCCGACTCGGTGGACCTGCTGATCCAAGGGATGATCCAAGGGCTCTACCAACAGATAGAGGTGCTGGTTTGCAGGGTTTTGAGGTGTTTTTGCAGGTTTTGAGGTGTTTTTTGCAGGTTTTCATGTACAGCTCATCGTGCTCGAGTTGTTTCATTGTGGCCATTTCCTCAGTCCATTGTCAGTTACCAATTGGCATGAAACACCCGCATGGGCGCATTACATACAAATCCCAGCTTCACAATTTTACAGCAGGAGAATCAGACAAATGCAATCGTTCATATATAGATACTGTATATCATAATATCGTTAGTTTGGTGGCTTTAGTATGATCTTTGGTGGTCAACTCGCAACCAGATCACATACTTGATTTCCGTTCTTTCTTCGGTGACTCGTAGTGACTCGTATGGATCAATTCCGATACATGACTGGGCAGGGGGGCAGGATGTCAGCATTCACTTTGTCGGCCTTCGATCGAAGGCGAAACGCTTCGGAGCTGGCTACGAGCCGGGTGGCCCAAACAGTCAATGAAGAAGCTGTTTGTGGCAGGTCCCATGTCACAGACCCACATTGGAGAAGGTTTTGAGGGGGATGGTTTCTTACAGCTTCTCCCCTCGAGAAGGTGGCTATAGCCTCAGATTCGTCTTGATCTTCAAAGCCTGGCCAGGCTCCAATACAGACGAAACCCCTCTGACATCAGTGGACAAACAACTCCAATCCTCAGATGATCTTCATTTCCTGCGGTGCGCATGATTGTGGGGTCCTGACTTGCCTTATCTTGCCTTGTAGCCGGTTATAATTGTTTATATTTATGCATTTGTTTGCATTATGTAGGATGTGAGTGTTCGCACCAGAACATTATAGTTTAATGGGGCTGCTTTGTATAATGTCAAGGATTTATACAAAAGTTTTCTCGGTGCGTGGCATAGCTTCCTGTATTGTTAGGAGATAATCTGGTGTTTAAAACAATCAATGGCCGCAATATGCACAATCAAATCGCTTCATTCGCTGAACCACCACCCCTGTCTCACTACACCACTAAGTTTATATGTTTGAGAGTTGAGACGAGAGCACTATTTTGACGGATTGTAGTAAGGTTAGCTATTCGCCTTTCAAGGCTCAAATGTCTTCTTTCCCATGTTTGGTTGACACAAACGCCATGCTCTGAAGCCCCAAACGGAGACCAGACCGAAGTCTCCTGCAGCACGGGTTCAGGTCTTATTTCTTGGGGCACGAAGAGCTGGAGCTTCAGCAGCGGATGCAGATGAAAAGTGCCGACGGAAAAAGACCAGTCGGAGCGAGGCGGTGACGAGGTGCCGACGCGGATGCCGCCTGAAGAGTTGGACACCTCTTCAAAAGGGGGGGGTGTCTACAAAACAGATTCTAGGCATTTCTAGGCTATGAAGAACCCTCCAGACAGATTGTCAAACCTCTTCAGTAACGGGTGGGTTCATTTTTGGGTTGTTTTAGGGACCAAGAGTCTCCCTCACTGTCGATGGTGCCGTTTTTTTCGTCGTGACCAGTCGGGGTCACAAGATGAACCTCAAACGGACCGCTTTTCCAGCCGTCCAAGCCCAACTGATGGGCAAAGCCGCTTGGATCCAACAGCAAGATCTGGAGCCTCACTGACCAAGCTGTTGGCTCCAGATCTGTTGGGGTTTGATCTGTTCTCTCCAGGCAACTGATTTGAAGGAAGGGAGAGCCATGGACGCACAGTCGCATGGTCCTTGCGAGGTCCAAAGGGAGGAGCTTGCTCACCAAATGTGTTGACAAAATATGGTGACAGTTTCAGAGGTTCCGCCCGAAAAAAAAGCGGGAAGAAACACCCTGTTGCTGATGAGGGGTTGGCTGTTTTAGATGTTTGGTCGCTGGCTGAGGCTGGAATTCTTCCACGATGGTGGAAGTCCCAGATTGCGCCGGGATTGCCTCCGGATGGGCTCACTGTTCAACCTTGTCCTCCCAGAAACTAGTGACCAACATAGGGGTAGTCTTTGGGCAGTCAGATTCCTTCAGTCTACCCCTCCCATAGCCGTTTTTCCTCCCAGGAAATGACCATAGGGGTAGTTATCTTCCCATAGCTTCTTAGAGGGCAGTCTTTGGGGTAGTTGACTGGAGGGTCATGGTCCTGTATCAACTTTCGAGGGTGGGCTGCTGGATGTGGCCTAGGCAGCATGTGAGTAGGGGCAAGGCAGAATTCAGAACCCTGTTTGTGACAGGTTTTAGCACCAACACGACCCGTCGCGAGAACAATGGGTCCACAAGAACAAAGGAGACCTGGCAAGAACGATCCTATCCACCAATCAGAGTGGCTCAACTGTGCGACATTTGATGGCGATACTAGATTATACTAGATCATAATATCTCCACATAATTAAGCAATCTAACACGTCTCCTTCTAGGAGGCATTCTGAGTTTTTTTTTTGGGGGGGTAAGGAGTAAGGAGTTCCAGATCAGTTGCACCAGCGACCTGAAGAAACCAACCGATTCTTAATATCAAGAGACAGAGAACAAGATATCTCTGAAGAACAGCGCCACGCACATCCGCACAGCACAGACACGGCCAGCGCCTCGACCGTTGGAGGCGACATGAGACCTCCGAATCTGCCACTGGAAGACGACGACCGCGCAGAGAAGTGGCAGGGCGACCCGGCCGGTGTGCTGCCTGGGGAAAGGGGCAGAAACGCACGATGCTTCGGCGATGTCGTTTTGGAAAGTGCCACCAGGGTTTTTCTTCATTTCTTCATAATTTAAGCTGCACCAATTTGATTGTATATGATGTTTACAATAGACCCTATATACATGATGGGGGTGCCTACTCCCACATGGTATTTGTGAGTCCAGCTTGTTCAGCCATGACCGTTTAAGCTTTTGAGAATTAGTATGAGCGTGAGGGACCCTTTACCCAGGCTCCAACGAAAGTTAAGTTTCAACAGGTTCCAACGCACTGCCAGGTTCCAACGAAAGTTAAGAAGCAAAGGCGTGGCTTTTTTTCGTGGAGCTTCTTGAGTTGCTGCGCGTCCAGGGCGCTGCGTGTGCTGAAGGCGCCTCTCAAGGGTTGTTGTGAGGACCACTGGATTTTGGTCTAAAAGAACATGGCTTTCACCTCCAAAATGATGGGTTTCACCCTAAAACCAATTCTGGGATTCCTGTTGCCACAGGCTTCACCAACCAATTCATCATCCAACGCAGCCGTTGGAGCGTTGGGCCCCGGATGTTTCACCCCGCGGTAGAAACGCGCCGGTACTCCGCAGCGTGGCCCGTTGTTCAGGTGGGCTTGGCCTTTGAACATGAGCACGCAGCAGGGTAGATTTTTGCCGGTACTCCGCACGGGGATGAAAAAGGAAGAAAGGAACAAAAGACAGTAAAAACATATTCAATCCATATTCATGACCTTTCGTCATGACGGGCTGGCACGAGTCTCCGTTTGGAGGGTTTGGATCGCCAGATCGCCCGGTGCATGCGATCAAACCACTATAGGACAAACGGTCAGTTTACCAGACACGCACTGCGATTTTTCGTGGGGCTGACCTACTCTGAAAGAATAATCTTTTTGGGGGTACCAAAGAGGGCAGGACACATGAGCACTGTGTTGGGTGTAGCTGCATTTCTGCCCAAGTTGCGGAGTGATTCCCCTTTTCGACGGGCTCCTCATCTGGGTGGTTTTTGCATGGCACGTCCATGTGGGGGCTTTCAAACTCTAGAAGTCTATTGGTGGGACGATACTCAGCCATAGGCCCAACATGATCCATAATGATCCCAACATGTATCAAAATGATCCAAAATGCCTATAACCACCAATGGACATCCGTTTGGCTGAAGAACGGCTGAAGAATGGTGCACCTGACTCTTCATCATGTTCGATCGGTGAAGGTGAAGAACTCCCAGTGTTCCCCTGACATCCAGGTCACATGGCGGAGCGCGAGCCGCGGCTGCCTTTGGCAGGGTCAACTTCTGTGGCTGGGCACTATGGGGGGAACTGGGTGGACCATGCACATCTGCCAAGCGGACTTCCTAGGAATTCTTTTGGGCGCAAGATAGGGCTCCAAGTACCCTTCTGGGAAGGTGTTTGGGGTGGGTTTAAAGGATGCAAATACCTTCTGAGGAGGTTCTTGGAGTTTTAGGGATTATGTTGGAAACATGTTGGGAACCACAAGGCTTTGGAAACATAGACTGAAAGCTCTTACTTCACAAACCGTCATCTATTGCAATATATGGTGACCATGTTCCACTTCCCAGTGCCGTCCCCAAGGCCGGTGTCGCCCAGTCCGGCGTTCGGTGTCTGCCGACCTCCACCTGCTGCGTCCGGCCGGGCCGGGCGGCCAGGTGTTTTCATCCACGTCCATCGGGTCGGGCTGGGCCATGTCCCCGCGCTTCGACAGCGACGTCGACGACTTCTGGGTGAAGCTGCCCGAGCGGCCGAAGAGCGCCACCGCAAGTCCCAGGAGATCGCGCCGGCCGCGACTGTCGATGGTCCGCGCTGAGTTCAGTTCCGATAACGCGCCCGGGAGGTGGACATGGGTCGCGTGGTTTGGTCGGGATTGAATCGTATGGAAATCGGGATGGAATTCGTGGATCTCTGGTAGAATATGGTAGAATAGAGTATGCGTTGGAAACGATTTGCAATGGCTTTTGGAAGAAAAAATGAGGCCATGGGGCGACCACTTTCATGAGCTTATATACTGTGAGCTTTATTGGGTGTTTGTTGAGCTTCATGGTTCTCATAGGAAGCCGCCTGGACGACCCCAACGGCGGCGCACCAGCAATGGTGGCCAAGCTGGTGGCGCTTTGGAAGGAAGAGACACTTGGAAAGCTTCGTCGTGCGGCGTGCGACGCACATCTTAGAGAAAGCTTTAGAACTTTAGAATGAGTGAGACAAGTATGACTGAATTCATCATCATAACCAGGAGAGCTAAGCAAGGACCATAAACTGTTAATTACTGTAATGGATTTTCGCTCTCGCACACCAGATGTCCTTTGGATTCACTGACAACGTCATCTCATCAAGGACATGGACTTGGAAAATAGACCTTTAAGCTCAACCCCTTTCACTTTCCTCTACAAAGCAAGGGGCCATGTCATTACGGCAATTTTGTTTGACAGCCGACACTTAGTGTATTAAACATGATTAAACCATTGATGGTTGGGCGATTCAAGTTCCCTTCATCCTGCTATGTCCGGTCATACTTGTGCAGTGGAGTGACATTCTTTTGATTTCTTTTGTGGTTTCCCTGGCCTGCCAAATTACATAGAGAGAGAGAGAGTGTGACAGTGGTAACCGTGGCTCAATCAAGGTGGGCAAATCATGATGCATAGAACAAACAGACACACCACGACTCGCGCTTATATAACTTGTGAGTGCCAAAGGTTTGTTTTCTGGCGAGAAAAGGACGGCCATGGAGTGAATTGCAGTCTGGAGGCTCTAGAGCCGCAGGCTTTTGGCATCCACCCCCCCCCTCCTTTTCTAAGGAAAAGCAAGCAGTGCCCGTCAAGGAGTTGGTGCCTCCAGCAGCGCGGTGCGCATCATTTTTCTGGGTGAGGTTGGGATCTTTTTCAGCAGAGATGGAGTAATAGATGGTACCAACCAACCTTACCATCCAACCAACCAAGGGGTTGGTTGGATTGGTTGGATTGGTTGCTTCGATGGTACCACCCACATCCCACCTGAGACGTTCACACCGGAATCCCTCGGTTTAAGCCACTGAAAATCCATCGGTTTCAGGTGGCGAGTGAACAAGTGGCAAGTCATGGGGAAGCGGGGAAGCAGCCAACAACTGAGTCATGGGTTGAAGGTGCACAACAGCTTCATGCTTGCTTCCTCTGACTCGGTGCATGGGGTGACCAGTAAGATGGGGAATTGGTGAAAGGGTTATCCAAGCCGCTCTTGCAGCTTCGTTGGACCACGGGTGTAGCAAGGACATGTTGAGCCCCCCTGAGCCTCATGGGATGAACCTCATGGGTTTCTCAGCCAACAGGTTCCTCTCTCAGCAGTTCCTCTTTGAAACAAGATGTTCTGCCACTGCTGTGTGGACCCCGTGGTTGAGTCTGCCATTAATCCTTTGTTTCCAGCATCTCAGTGGTCTAGTCCAAACAGTTTTCATCGAGCGGGCGGGCGCGCAAGGGAGTTTGGCGGGGAGGTTCAACCAACAATTCTTTAACACTCTTACTGGGGGGGTTGTCAAACATGTGCCAGCAAACCAAACCCGGAAACCCCAAAAAAGAAAGGCATATATATATTGAGTACAGGCTTCAACAAGCATGGTGGAATTTAGCATGTTCCACCTCAGAGTTTCACTATATGCCGTCCATTCAGCGGACATCCTTTAACCTTTTGTGGGGAATTGGGGCCACCCCACTGCTGTGGGTCAAGTGCCCTGGACCCCTAAGGGCCCTAATCCGTTGGTAGGTTCACCTCGCCAGTCTAATGCAAACATAGGATGAATAAACCTCCCCTAGCTAATCCGAGCCCACAAAGCCGCATGGCCCAAATTGAGAGTAGTATTGGTGGCATTAATCCGGGGGTTTATTAATCCGGTCTTTGCATTATTCTGTTCATTTTTGGTGGTTAACCAGGCCACCCCCGTTTTGACCCAAAGCCATATCGAATAAACGTCATTTAAGGACTCAGTAACTGCGGATTCACTTTGAGTGATCAACTCCCAGATTTCCCAGTATTTGCATCCAAGACCACCTTCAGAGTGGAGCCAGTCTTGGCAGCGTTGGATTCCAAGATTTGGGGCTCATTCGAATGGCATTAGTTTCCAGCCATCACTTTTGATCAACACAGCAAGCTTTCGCACAAATTGGGATAAAGCTCTCGTTTTTTTGGACTAGAATGCGATGGGGGGGATCTCCAAGACTAATTACATAGTTATATTTATAATTATCTAATCAATTTTCCCTTCCAACATGCTCTCACCTGGAAAGAAACCCATGCACACGCAGCCAGTTGATCCCCCCCTTGCATGCTGATTCCTTGATATACATATTTCCCAGATTTCCCTATCCTGTTAATTGTTCACCTTGGGCCGGGCTGTAAGGTGTTGCTAGAAGCCTGGCATCCTGTACTTGCAGAGCTTCTACACCTCCAAGATGAAATAATACACTCACCAGGCACAAAAGCCGGCTTGGGACCCAAGACGGGCGCTGTGAGGAAGTGATGAAGAAAGTGCTTGACATTGCCAGGGGAGGAGCCTTGGTGATAGAGATGCTTTGGAGCACCAGTTCTTACCTGCCCGCACACAACAATGGGTCCGCTGGCTGCAAAGTCTGCAACGGAATCTTTGTTTGGTGGACCTTTTGGGGACTTCTGTTGCTTGGACCTAGCGCTTTCAAGAGTATATGGCACAACCCCGAAGATATCTTAGACAGATGGGGGTCCATATCAACTCCCCGCGGATTGCGCCACCTCATCTGAAACTATTGTAATGTTGGATCATCAGGAATGTTGACCAGCAATCTGGCGAGTTTCGAACTAGACCAGGTCTTTGAGTCATGAGGTTGTGTGAAATGTGAAACGCGTGGCTATACCCATCATATCCCATCATCCGTCAGGGGTCAGTTCCGACTCACTCACATGGAAGTGAAAACCCCCTTCTTTGTAGAGGAAAGTTAGAGGCCTTCCAACTTCCAAGGGGCTATTGTCTCCACTTCCATGTTAGTGAGCCAGAGTGTACCACCTTTCCTGTACATTGATCTCCCATCCCTTTCGAAGGTCCCAATTCTTCGAGCTCCTGGGGTCCTAGTGGCCAGTTTGGGGTCACAGGATGAACCGAGGTCATGGGGACTAGCGAACTCATAGTTGAACATTGGGGAGCCTCCACGATCCGTTTTCCACAAACGGATGCCGGGCGATGAGATGCTGTTGCGGCAGTCCGGAATGTGGACATGTCATGTGTGCGCAGAGTGGTTAAACAAACGCCGTGGACGCTGGTCTAATCTGCTCTCAGATGATTTTCCACTGGAGGGCCTGGATTCGCCCGTCTGGAATTCCTCTGACTCTGGGTCCTGCCGATCAGCCTTGAGACCATCCAACTGTGCCCAGCTGCACCCAGCTGCAGCCCTCGGTGTGAAATCCGATCCTGAAACCCAACCGCGGTCGTGTGCGCCTGACCCTACCACCTGAGAGGAGCTGTTCGAGTGGACGATTCATGACCTCGAACCGAGCTCCTCGACCCGGGCTCAACGGCAGTTTCTCGAGCTCAGGCAGAAGTACAAGCAGATTGCCGGTGAGTTGCAAGAGCTCCTGGAAGGACGCCTCTCTCGAGGTTTTCCGCTTCCAGTGCTGACCCTGGAGAGTCCTGTGAAGGTCAAAAAGGCTCAAGGTGCCTGAAACTGCAGGGTTTGGGGCTTGAAGGAGGTATATAGATTGATCTTTCAGGTCCAGAGCCTGTAACATGCTGCAACCCCGGAGTGTTGGAGTTGTTTGACCGACGCTTGCATGCGTCCCTCCAAGAAATGGAGCCAATATAGAGCCCGGAAACTGTTGGTTTGTGGGGACCAAGTAGTCGAGAGTCTTCTACGATTGAATTTCTATGCGAGTTTCAGGGGCATAAAGATTCCTACTGAGTTGGTCTTGTGGCTTTGCAGGTGAAATTTGGCCCGGGAAAAAGCAGAAGGTGCCCCCAAGAGAGTGATGCAGGATTCACGCATCGCGCTTTTCGCGGATGGCATTGATTTACCAACATCCGCGGCACTTCCTGTAAAGCACGTTGAATCAGCATCCAGGTGTCCATACCTGGCATTGTCATGATCGAACCTGTCCGGCCATACAGAGTCATGCCAATGCCAAGACCTGATGATACCCGACTTGGAGGCCTTGTGTTTGTGGAATAGGATGGAATGGGATGAATCTATTCTATTGATATGACCCAAACACTCCATGGAACTGCCATGTATATATATATATATGCCTACATTGGGGTGGTTTGGGCGCTCGATGTAGGCATATGTGGCATACAGGGAGTGTTTGGGCATTCTATGATATAATGGATCCGAGAAGCTTTGACGTCTCTACCTTGTGTGTCTTTTTCTACATTTAATCAGTTCCCTAATTAGTATCCTTTAAATACTTGTAAGTTGTCGAACTTGTTTCGTCACCTTCCGTAGCACAAGAATGCGCCCACCGCACTCCTGACCTGAGGTATTTATGATCGCTATTCCGAGTGGGAGAGAGACTTCAATTTGGTCCCCTCCAATGGCTCCTATGCCTATGCCGTGCCCAGCCGCGTTGGAGCCTTCGAGGTCCACTTGGTACCTCGTTCTACAGTCTTGGACGAGCCGTTCGACCGAAATCCTCCACCGTCCCAGCGAAACAATCCCATGAGCCCGGCGTGCTTGTGATGTTCACACGGCAGCTCCTTGCTAATCCTTGCATTTGTGCATGCCAAAAGACTGTACCTGCACAGATGTGCACAGTATTTTGCTTGCAGGCACCAACGGGTGTTGTCGTACAATTCAAACATCCAAACAGGAAGTCGAAGAACACTTTAAGACTCGCTCACTCTGCTCACCGACTGCGCCAATGGACATCTACTGCGGACTCCCATTGTGAAGACAGATATATGATCCAGACAAAGTAGAATGGACTGCTGAACTGTCCATCAGCCATGGTTTTCTTGAATGGCACTTCATTGGAAAAGCAGCCGCTGCAAGTTGCTGCACTTGTCAAAGGTCAAATCAATGCTTGTTTCCAAGGGCTTGCGCACGACTGTTGGCGTGATTCGATTCACTTCGATTCATGCCGAAACGGAGTTCCGCTCGAAAAGAGATCGGGACGTCTTCCTGACTTTCGGGGTGCCCAAAAAGGAACACTTTCCCAATAAGCAGTCCCCTACCCCTGACCCCCTACGATCTATATGGCACCTCCAGGGCTCCCCCAAAAACAGCCTCCAAACTTGGCCGCATAGCGCATGGCTAAGCTTCTGCCCGGACTGTGGAGTTGACTGATGCGGCGCTGAGGTTCAAGGCATCTGGGATCCACAACGCTGCACGGCCGCCCTCGGTCCTCATCAGGGCCCGCCGGTGACCGGTGCTTGGGGCGTCGTGTGCTCTGCATGTGCGCAACGCTGGCAGGGACAAAAGCCTCCGGAAGCTCGAACAAGAAGGGAGTCCAATTGTAAGGTGCTGGTAGTTATTGGAGGGTGCTGTATATAGTTGTTCCATGTTGTTCCTTTTTTGATTGGTGGGAGGAGGAAAGTGTTGCGTGAGGGGAGTGCTTGCGATGTCATGCCACATCGGCGAGCTTTTCAGAGGAAGAGAGGTGTGGAAAGATCATCTTCATTTTTCGGGAGACAGGGCATGCGGTGTTGATTCTTGTCTTTGTGGGTGTTTGATGCTTTTTCCATATTTTTGCTTCATGTCATGGATCGAAACTTGCCATCGTTCTACAGTAAGTGGGTCTTTGGTTTGGGGCTACGTTGGCCTAGATAGATATCGATAGTCAAGAGCTAGCGGCTTAGGAAGTGACCACGGAGGAGCAGAAGAAAGAGTATGAGAAGCAGATGAAAGAGCAGCCACGTGGTGCACAGAAGAGAGAGGACTTGACTAGAATTTCTCAGAAAATGCCCAAGTTGATCCAGTGATGGAGTATTGTTGTTTTCCTGAAAGCACCTGATTCCATTTGTGCAAGCTAACATGTTTATTTGGGCGGGCTAGTGTAATAACCCGGCGCTCAACATGGTATTGGCCTGCCCCTTACCGCTACTAATGCATTGCATTGCTGGCCCTGAAACATCCTGAAACGATAATAAGAGTCAACATGTAAAAACAACGATAACTACCCGAAAGGAACATGCATGGAAATGACGGGAACTGTTGACTTTCGACCATGGCTGCTTTCACACCCACAGCCGGAAAACTCGCATTTCTAGTACAGAGAGCCCACTGAGAAAACGATGAGAGTAAGAAAACACGATAACGTGACTTCGGGACATTGCAATTCTGATATGGGGCTTTTACACCACGGTCTGCAGCGGAGTCCGTGTGTTCAGCGGATTTGCCTGTGGAAAGCACTGGTCGCAGTGTACAGCCAGAATTCTTGCAGGGCTTCTCTTCAGAAGGGCATCGTCGCAGCATCGTCGCTGTGCCCAGCCATGATTCAGCCATGATGCCGACTATATACCCAGGAAAAGTGGAACACCTGCCCCATTCTTTTTCAGAACGGCAGGCCCTGGGAGTGCACTTTTTCATCAATTTTCAGTGATCTGGAGGTGCATTTTTGTATTTTTTTTTCAAGGATCTACTCAGATGAATTGCCAAGGACATCTCAACTGCTGTCCTCTGACAAAATGCAGAGTACCCAAAAAAAAACAATAAAAGTAAAAAGTCTGACAGACTCTTTGGACACCCCCCCACCCCCAGTCCAAGACCTCCCAGGAATTGTTTTTTTTGTTTGTTTTTTTTGATTTGGGGGGGTGTCCAAGACCTCCCAGGAATTGTTGTTTTATGTTTTTTTTGTGTAATATCGTTTTATTACATTATAAGAAATCTATGTAATATATTTTTGTTAATTTATATATATTTATACATGTTTATTGTATTGTTCAATCAAAAAATATCATGATATGTCTTTATTATGAGGCTGAGACATCGCCATTATTGGGTTAATTTGAGTTTAAACATATTTTATTACACATACATAATATATACTAAATATCAACGTTCTAATATACTCGAATTGTTTATAGATGCTGTATCTTCGACATTTAACTATCAAAAACTATTTTATGCTTATACGAACATTTATTTATATACTAATATTCTATGTTCATACATATGTATCTATATTTATATTGTTAAATAACATATTTCATATCAAAAGATATATCCTTAATAATTTTGTCATGTCTTCCATCAATGTTGTATTCATATGGTTCTTTCAAAATATATATATATATACGTATTTCATTAATAAATCATAACTTACATGTATTATATGTATATTACAATAAAATATAGCTACATTACAAATCAAAAAAACAAGTATATATATATATTATATATAACAGATATATTTTGGTAAAATACAACTATAATACATATGTAATACAACTCTATTATATATATTACAATCACAATACAGATTTTGTTAAACTATAAACAACTATATTTTACGTATAATACATGTATATTACAATAAAATATAGCTATTTTATATATACAATACAGGTATAATACTTGTATAGTAAAATAAAATACAGTTGTATTACAGGTATAATACTGCGAATGGAAGTGCAGTGACATGTACAGTGCAACATGTACATATATATATATATGTATCATATGCACTTTGGCTCAAGGATCAAGCGACTAGAAAAGGTGCGGTTTCCGTTCCGACGCTACGCCGCTTATGGACCGTCAGTGATAGCTTCAAACTTCGCTGATTAAGATCCACTCGCAGGTTATCAGCCGTACGCGCTCTTTATAGCCGTACGAGCTACACGAGACCGAGAACAAGACTAGTCATTACAGAAACCTGCAATGTCAAGCTCAGGAGGAAATGGAAGCGAACCCTATTCATTCGCTGCTCCTGGTGGTCCCAACACCATTTCGTCACCAGACTCTACAATGGGTACTGACTCATCAGCAAATGCTGACGTTATCACTATGCCTACTGGATCACAAATCTCGGAAAGATCCGTGCCACCGGCTCGGAATCTGACCGATCTTGCACCCGTAGGACCAAGAAGATCGATGAGAGCTACAACAAGATCTACATCGCCTATAACGTCTACCGCGAGATCCCCAAGAAGGAGTATAGAGAAGAGACGTGACGATGATAGAGGAACAAAAGAGCAAAGAAGAGAGATTCAGCTGGGTGAAGAATTGAGATCGGCGAGAAACGCATACAATTTTCTTCATCAAGAATATGAATGCATCCAAGCCGGATACTCACGACTACACCACGAGGCTGAAGTGGAGTTCAGGCAAATGTCTGACTACAACAGGAAGATGCAGGAACATCTACAGGAGATGACACAGGAGGATGAAGGAGCGACAATAAGAATTGAAGAGCTCGAACACAAGCTACGCTTGGCGGAATCGACAGCTGAACATATCTACATGAGATATCAAGAGCTTGCACAAGAAACTCATCAAGAACATTCAGAGCTTGAATCTGTGAAAGCAACGAAGGACAGAATGTCCCAAGAACTTCAAGCAGCAATTGGACACATCCAAGAACAGAATGAATCTTCATTGGCGATCAATAGAAGATCAAAAGCCATTCAGGATGAGAACACAGCCTTCGTTGGAATAGCTGACCAGATACAAGCTAGAATGATTGCGCTACAGGATGAGAATGTCAACATGCACGAGGTGATCCAACACCAGAGAGAAGAACAATGGAACAGTGAGGTCAGGGAAAGACGTCTTCAACACAGTGTTCACTCATCTCAAGATCAGAGCAATCAGGAAGCTATGGTTATTGATCATCTACGAGGTCAACTAGCTATGGCACGTGGAGCTGAACTCAACGCGAAAGCGGAGATGGGAGAGATGGAAGTGGGCATGAGGATGGAGATGTTTATATGCCAGACTGAAGTCTCTGCTAAAGAAATGGCAGATGCGAGGGCGAGCCACCACGAATACGAAGCAAACGTCGCAAAAGAGGTTATCGCAAAAGGAGAAATATTCAACAACGAAGTCCTAGAAAGCTCCATCCGTGAACGACAACAATTGAAAGACGTCAACCTCGCTCTATCCGAAGCCAACGCACAGCTGAAAAGAGAGAATATGATGAGAGCTCCTATGTTCGGCGATGATGGTGCAGAAATTCAACAGAAGATCAGAGAACTGGAGGATGCACTATTGGAAAGCCAGAAGGAGACAAAGAATGTCATTATGGAAAATGCGAAATTAAAAGCAGAAGTACGAATGGCACCCATAGTCTCTCGGTACAGCAAGCGTCCTAATTCCAGAGACCGCGGGTTACCAACCCACGCGTGCGAGGAAGATGAGGTTCGGAACGCGAAAGAGGAGGCGAAGTACTACAAGGACGGGTACAATGAAATGACAGAGAGCCGAGATGAGATGTATGAATGGTATGCCGAAACCCACAATGAGTACGCCGAGGAAAGGGAGAAATCAATTGAGCTATCCGAGGCGAACAAATCATTGAGGGACAAGATTTCAGAAACAGAGGCATCCTCTTCATCTCATCTTGCACCGGCAACCTCTACTGTCATGAAAGTATCGAGGAAGGAAGAATCAAAGATAAACGTTCCGTCATGGCCCAGGATCAATGATATTGG